TCTCTCTCTCTCTCTCTCTTTCTTTCTTTCTTTCTTTCTTTCTTTCTTTCTTGACAGGGTCTCTTGTAGCCCAGGTTGGCCTCAAACTCACTAGGTAGTCAAAGATGACCTTGAACTTCTGATCCTCCTGCCTCTGCTTGCTGAGTGCTGAGATTACAGGTCTGTGCCATTATGCTTGGTGTGGTGCTGAGGCTGGAATTCAGGGCTGTGTGCATACTAGGCAAGCACCTCCCCCCCCCCCCGAGCTAGAGCCCCCCCCCCCCCCCCCCGTTAACTCTTTTTTCATCTTTTGAAGAGATAATAAAAATACATAATTGGTAAGAAAAAAAATATTCAAACAAGTACCACCCAAAAGCCTGGACCTCCATGTGGGCAGTTTCCTTGCATGTCAGGAATTCCTAGGTCTGCTCTTAGCCTTCTTTGCCCAGAGGCTGGAGCTGAACTGGCTGAAGAAGCATCTGTGGGTGTTCAGCAAGTGTGGGGTTAGGAGGCAGTTCTGCTGCCATTGAGGGGCATCCTGACAGGGTTAGCCTTCCCTGGGCTGAGGAGACAGGAACGCTATGTGGTATTCCAACGCTACCAGTGCCTCTGCTTTTGCCACTCTGACACCACCCTAGAGTCCTCTGTTCTTCCTCTAAACGTGGGAAATTGACACCCCGTTACACCTGGGCTGTTGCGATATCAGCTCCAGAATGCCGGCTACACATAGCTCAGACCTGACATGGTTCCACCCAGCCCAGGGCCTGGCTAACAGGAAGAGTGTCTCTGAGCCAGCTGGCAGGGATTCCTACCTCCCCCAGGCACTCTTACCAGGCCTCAGCCAGCTCTAGGTTGGCCGTTCTGTGGGCCCTGCCCAACATGACCTCCAGAAGGCTCTCAGACACTGACACCTCAGTCTGTCTGGCCAGGCAACAAGGTCATCTACCACATGGACTGGAGCCTTTGGCTAGTGCCTAGTGGCCAGGCCAGCCCCAGTCAGCTTGGAGTCCCTTTTCTCAGGTCACCTGTCTCCAATACTGGAGACCCACTGAGTAGACGAGGAGACTGCGTCCTGCAGCCACATGGAAACATGTGCTTAAGGAAAGGGATGCTGGTTTCTCTTCGGCCTCCTGGGATTCCAGGTGGTGGGAATAGAGGGCAGCATCTTCAGGAAAGGATTCAGGCAGGGCCAGATCACATCCATTGTATCGCTTTTGTCATCGCGGAGACAAAAGCAGCTAAGGAAAGGAAGGGCGGCTTTGGTTCACAGTTTGAGAGTGCAGTTCTTTGTGGTAGGGCAGGCACAGCATCAGGAGCTTGAGGGAGCTGTGTGTTGCACCTACATCCTATCGTGGTGGGAAGGCATGGCAGCGGGAGCATGGGGCAGTCGCTCACACAACATCCGCAGTTAGGAGGCAGAAAGAGGTGAACACTGGTGCTCAGCTCATGTTCTTTTTATTTTGCCCCAGTCCATGGGGTGGTGCTGCTCACGGTCAAGGTGTCTCCTCCCACCTCTGTTAACTCAATATGGAAACTCCCGCACAGGCATGCCCAGAAGTTTATCTCCTAAGTGAGTCTAGATCCCATCAAGTTAACAGTGAACTTTGACTCTCACACCCAGGCTGTAAAAGGAACAACGGGCTGTGTTCCCGCCTGGATCCTGGCTAGCTTACCCCTGAAATAATTACACACAAATTGTATTCTTTTAAACACCGCCTGGCCCATTACCTCCAGCCTCTTATTGGCTAACTCTCACATCTTGACTCAACCCATTTCTAATAATCTGTATCTCACCACGAGGTCGTGGCTTACTGGGAAAGATTCAGCATGTCTGACCTGGCAACTTCATGGTAGGCGGCTCTCTGCTTCTGCTTTTTTCCTCCCAGAACTCAGTTCTGTCTTCCCCGCCTACCTATGTTCTGACCTATCAGGCCAGGCAGTTTTCTTTATTAATTAACCAATGAAAGCAACAGGTAGATAGAAGACTCAACTACATCACCAGTCAAAGCTGGGAAGATCCTTCTCAGACCTGGAGCGAACATTCACGACTGGCTGGTGGAAGATCAGCCTCTGGAATGACGGAACAGACACCACACTCTGTGGCAGTTCCAAAATAGAAATGTACAGGGATTTCTTCCTGCCAGGCTCACTGAGATTCTGAATGAAGATTCAGAAGCATTCAGGAGTTGCTCACCTCTTGGGTTCCTAGAAGGACCAACGCCTCGTCCTTGGTTGTGTAGATGGACTTGCTGGCCCGTGGGACCCTATCTGTATTAGTTTTCTTGTCACCCTGACAAAGCACCTGGCTTAAACAACCCAAGAAAGGAGTGATTTATTTTACTTATTGTTTCTGGAGTTCAGTCTACAGTCATTGGCCCTACTGAGTTGAGGCCTGTGATGAGGCAGAAGGTCATGGTAGTAAGATGTTCAGAAGGATACCGTTTGTCTCATGGTGAATGGGAGGCAGAGCACAAGAGAGGGCCTAAGTACTGTGTAAACCCTTCACAGACTGCCTCCTAGTGATCTACGCCCTTCAACTAAGCCCAACTCAAAAACTTTCCAGAACCTCCCAGGACAGCGCCGTCTGCTGGGGACCAGCTGATTAGCACAAGAGCCAATAGGAGCATTTCTATTCATATCAAGACACTCAGGTCTGGTATGGGGCTCAGTTGATGGTCTAACATGCATTAATCCCTAGGCCCCATCTGCAACCAGTCATGGCATGGCACTAGCTATGATGAATTTTAATTGTTAACTTGATCAAGCTCAACTCACCTGAGAAGAGAATCTCAATGAGGGCATGTCTACACTGCATTGGTCTGTGGGGGACTATCTTAATGAGTTAATAGAATGGAAAGACCCAGCTCACTGTGGGTAGCACCATTCCCTAGGCAGTGCACCCAAACTGTATAAAAGTGGAGAAATTGAGCTGAGAACAAGCAAGAAAGGAAGCAAGCATGCAATCAATCATTTCTCTCTGCTCTTGATGTGGATATAATATTACTAAATGCTTCCTGCCATTCTGATTTAACCCAGAAGTGTGATACAGTAAGCCCTTTCTCCCTTAAGTTACTTTTGGTTAGAATATTATATCATAGCAACAGAAATGAACTAGGACAGTGGGACAATTTAATCTCAGGACTCAGTAGATGGAGGTAGAAGGATCAGGAATTCAAGGCCAGCCTGAGATATATATATATATATATATATATATATATATATATATATATATATA